TTTCTAGATGCTTGTGCATGGTGGTCCTGTCCTGCTGAGCCCAAAGGTATCCCTGGGCACTCAACTGCCTAGGGACCTCACAGGATGACAACCAATTTCTGCCAAGACCCTGGTCTCCCCCAGGGTAGTTCTCCTCTCACTATCTCTATTCCCTGCCTCTTCATTCCTTTGACTGAAATCAGAGAGAAAATATTTTCTAGGAAGCCACCACTTATGATCATGCATTATGTTCATTTGGTACGTACAGACCACATGGAAGAAGCCTTGTGCTAACCCCCTTCTACATAGCAGCTCCCAGTGGTCACATGGCCTTGGTGCACAGGCAAGGCAGCTTCCCAAGGGCTTACCCACCTAAAGCAACCAAGACACTTTGAAACTGGGTGTGGTGGTGCATGCATGAAACTCTAGCACTCTGGAGGGCTGAGGCAGGAGAACAGCAAGCTTGAGCCCAGCCTGGGCAACTTTCCAAGACCCTGTCTAGAGGGGTTTAAAAGCCCTAGGGATGCAATCCATACACCCGGTTTCAAAGGTCCTCGGTTTAATTCCCATTACTACCACCAAGAAAAGGGAAAAAAAAGCCCACCCTGTGTACAGTAAACATTAAACAACTGGCAACAGAACTAATATCTTTTTATCAAATTGGAGCTAAAAGTAGGCTCCAGGTTCTCAGCTCTACTAAAATTCTATGAATCTTCAATTTGCCCCAAGTTTTTTGGAGGGAAAGAGAAGGGAGGGTCCTCACTGCCATTCATCTGAAGATGACAGGGGCAAAAATATTTCTCAGCTTGACAATGGGAGGCTGTCTGTGCCTCCCACCCTTTTGAGACAGGGTCTCGCTATGCAGTTCAGGCTGACCTTGGATTCACTTTGTAGACCAGGCTGGTCCTGAACTTGCAAACAATTCTCCTGCCTCAACTTCCCAAGTGCTGAGATTACTGGAGTGCCCCACCATACCCGACTTTTTTTTTTTTTTTTTTGGTCTTTTTGAGATAGGGTTTCACTCTGCAGTTCAGGGTGGCCTTTAAAACTTTGTAGCCCAGGCTGGTCAGGAACTCAGTGATCCTCTTGTCTCAGCCTCCCAAGTGCTAGTGTTGGGATTATAGGCATATACTGTCTATTGTCTCCTAAGTCGAAGTCTGAACTGTTTCAGGTGCACTAAGAACAGTGTCCTTCACAAATGGAAAACAAGAGAATAAATGCACCTGGGTGTGGTGGTACATGCCTGGAATCCCAGCACTAGAGAGGCTGAGGCAGAACTAGTGAGAGTTCAGGTCAGGCTGAGATACACAATGAGACCCTACCGCAAAAAAAAGTTTTAAAAATCAAACTGTTGCCAGCTTGGGAGGTAGAGGCACAAGGATCGGAACTGAAGCCAGCCTGGGATACATAGTGAGTTCAAGGGCAGCATGAACTACATAATGAGACCCTGTCTCAAAAAACTAAGCCCTCAAGAAAAAAAAAAAAAAAAAAAGAAAATTTAAAAAGGGGCCGGGGATTTGGCTCAGTGATGCAAGCAACTGCCTGACAAGCGTGAGGTCATGAGTTTGATCCTTGGTACAAAAAAAAAAAAAAAAAAAAAAAAAAAAAACCAAAAAAAACCAAAAAACTAAGCCCTCCCCCAAAACTCACTCTCCCAAAAGGAGCAAACACAACACTAAACATTCAAACAAATAACTTATAGTATTTGTTAAAACCTGGGAGGTTGGTTTGAATGCTGCTGCTACCTCATTTTCAGCAAATCCTGTCTTTTCTAGGGTCCAATTTCCTACCTGGTGAGACAGGCTAGATCAGATACCGAGGACTGTTGACTATTCTTTACACTGTGTTTTGGAGAGGGCTGTTTGGTTTATGCTGGGAAAGAAAAGACGTGACACATAAGTTCATCAAATTGGGTGAAATCAAGAATATTCTACGTTTCTTTAGTATTTGATTATAACATCAAAGGTAATTTCTTGAGACTACAGAAATGCCTTCCGTGTATTTACTAGAGAGCTGAGATGGAAAAGGAAAATAACTTTTACTGGCCCAACATTAAAACATATCGCACTTTACAGCTACCTACTATCCTTTTAAATACATCTCCTGTAAATCCTGATTCTCTTGATTCTGTACAACACCCTCCACAAAACCTTTGTTAATGAGCTAACATTTGTGCCATTTCCTCCAGTGATCTTGATTACCATTTAAATATTTTGGAGTCCTTAAACTTTTCAAATGTAAGTGCCTTTGGGTCAAGGAAGTTTTTTTCCTCCTTTTCTTTTAAATACCACTTGTAGGGACTCAGAAAAAGTATGCATTTGCTTCAGTTGGGACTTCAAGGCAGGTTATCACTTTGGTCTAGTTCAAAATCACTCTGAATTGTAGGAGAGGGGGAAGGGTTAACTCCGAAGTGCTTTTCCAAAGTGCATTTGAATGAATGCAACCAGGTTATCTCTAGGATTCTTTTAGCTCTGACATTATACCAGACCACAGGAATATGCTGTGAGTCTAGGGCCACAGGATACAGCATGACAGATAAATTTTAAACTGGAGCCAGGAAAATTTAACCTGAAGAAAGCAGAGTTTCTGTACTTCACTTAATAATGACAAGTGGGAAAATAACTATTTACTACTTGCTGAATTAACATGAGTATGAAAGCTTAGCCTATTTATCCTAAGCAGAGAAAATACACATTTTCTTCACTGTGCTGTCTGAGCCCAAAACACTGAAGGCTCAAATAATGAGGATTCCAACAGCTGAAGGGGATGATAAGTGGTCTGAAGCAAATTACTTCATTTTTGTAAGATCTCAGCTGTACTTCTCAAAGGGAGGATGAAAATACAAAGCTGCTGATACAAGGAAAAAAGACATGTTCTGTGGTCAAAGTTTAGCGAACTTCAATAAGAGTGTGACTCTCAAGAGATGAAGAAGACTCACTATGCAGCCTGAACTTACTGAGGCACAGGGTTCTTCTTACCCAGAGCATTACTGACATTCCCAGTGTGCACAGCAACCCTATAACAAAGGTATCTGTATGTTATGAATAAAGGAATGGACCTCACAGGTTGTTTTGTTTTGTTCCCCCTCCTCTCCTCACAGGTGTTCTACAACTTATCCCATGTCTGTGCATCAGTTTAGGACAAGTCAAGACTGTGTGAGCCTAACCTCAAAGTCCTGAGAGTTAACTACTATGCTATACCGCTTTGTTTACTGTGACATTCTCAAAAATTCTAACTGGGAGGAGAGTTTCAATGTGTTTATATTTGGAGGAGTAAGCAAAGACTTCAAGCGATGGCTGCAAATGCAAGACTGACATAAACGAACTGAATGGAGAAAAGTGCTTGGAAAATCGACTTCTAACACCCATGTAGTTTAAATGGGAGTCCAGGGCTGGGGATAATGCCTGGCCAAGTGCAAGGTGGTGAGTTCCATTCCTAGTTAAAAAAAAAAAAAAGAGTCTAGACCATTATTAACCACAGAGAATTATGAGAACAAGGAAGGACCTATAAGTGATGAACTTTCAGAATATAAGCAAGATAAAAGAGTCTCAAAGAGGAGACAATTCAAAACAAAGTTTCACCCTGGGGGGAATTGGGATGGGGGATGGGCACAAAGGAAGAGTCCCCTGAGACTCTTCCTTGAGAGAGTCCCAGGTGATACAGACTCTGGCCATCTAACACACTTGTCAAACAACTGACTTGAAATGGACTAGAAATCCTCTTGCGACATGGGTTTCTGGGGTCTTACAGGGAAACGGCAAAAGCACCAAAAAGATTTTAGGAAACTGCTTTATCAAGATCCAAATTCTAAACGGGCTGGGGATTTAGCTCAGTGGCATAAGTGTCTGCCTTGCAAGCACATGGCTATGAGTTCGATCCCCAGTACCGCCAAAAAAAAAAAAAGAGCCAAATTTTACTGTTTCTTAAAAGGCCACCCCAGGCCTTGAATACAGACAGACCTGGTTAACATTATTGAAGTTAGGAGAAGTATATACATGGAAACTAGCAATCAAAAGTTCCCTTTCAAGGTGATTAACCTTAAACAAGTTATCCTTGTTCACCTCTAAGGCTTACTTTATTCGTAGAAAGGCAGCAGAATTCACTTTTACATTTTATCTTAATCACTTCAGAGCTGGTGATGCATTGTAATCTCAACTGGGAGAGAGTAAGGCAGGATGATCTGGATCTGAAGTTCAAGGACTGCCTAGGGGTTACACAGCGAGTCCAAGGCCAACCTGAACTACTTAGTGAGACCCTGTCAAAGTAAGCCAAAATAAATAAAAATCAGTGCTCAGACCTTTCCTGGGACTTAGATGAATTCTTCCCTTAGCTTTTCTGGCCTACAGACAGACACCTCCTCACTTTTCTAGGTCACTGTCCCTTCTCCTTGGCTACTTGTAGTCCCTCCCAGTTCATTTTCCAAGCTCCTTGGCCTCAAGAAGCTCTACTTTCTTTGCAAGTAAAATCACTTTCTTATAAGTAAAACCACTTCTCAGCCAGTCTCAGAGGAAAAAGATAAAGAAGGTCTAATGGCGGGAAAAGATGTAGGATGTTTTGTGACAGCTCTAGGCCCACCTGTCAGGGTTATTATTATGCATGTCCCAAAGGACTGAGCCACAGACCCCAGGGTTTGGTTGACTGCCCTTGGATGGAGGACTGGGGATCTCAGAGGAAAGCCAAGAGTTTTAGGGGTGGGACTGGAGCATATCATGAAATTTAGAACCATAGGGGGTTGAACATGAAGCTTTTTTGTTTGTTTCAGGAGGGAAAGAGATCTTAGACAGCAAGGAAGCTCCGCGACTCTGCAGTTACTGAATACACACGAGGTTAAATAAGCTCTTCTCATGGAAACTCCACTAACGTTTCAGGTAGGGCTGAGTCCCAAGAAGATGGCCCCAAAGCCCAGGCAGGAAAAAAAGGGTGTGTCAGGGCCCAGGGTGACAAGAGCAGGACCAGGGCTTGGGGTCTCGGCGGCCCCAGGAGCAGGGGGCCCAGGCCCTGCGTGGGCAGGGCGGCAATACCTTTGAGCGAAGTCTCCACCAGGCGCAGGTAAAGCTGTGAGCTCTTGTTGCCGTGGCTCATGCGCTGGGCGAGCCCGTTGCGCTGCAGGACGCACTCCTCAAACTGTACGACGTTCTGGTGGCGGCGCTTGAGGCTGGTCAGGGCCCAAAATTCGGCCAGCGCCAGCTCCACGTTCTCGGGGGCATCGCAGCGAATCTTCTTGACTGCCACCCGCGCCCCGCTGCGCCCGGCCACTGCCTCGTAAACCACGCCGTAACTGCCGCGCCCGATTTCCGCCAACAGGCTGTAGCGAGGAGGCGCAGACCCGCCGCTACCTTCGGACCGCCGCCCCGCCAGGTTGGCCTCGGCCGGGGCCTCGGCCGCCACTGGATCCATTGCCTTGGCCGCAGCCACCGGCCTCAGCTTCGCGCTGGGCGCCCTCGGCACTGGGCTTCGCCTTTTCCGTTCCGGGCTTTGTGTACCTCTGCGGGCGCCGTCCTCCTCCCCCGTTTCCATGGCTGCGGGCGGCGGGGGGAGCAGCAACGGTGCTGCCCGGGTCCCCCCTGCCTCATCCCTTCGTCCGGCCCCGGCACGCGAAGGAGCGGGACCTTGGATTGTGACCTGTGGACGAAAAGAGCGGTTAAACGACCAGGCCGAGGCGGGTAGGCAAGGAGTGCTGGGAGCGTGGAGCCCCACCTCCTCTAGCTCCTCCTACGGGCGCCACGGCTCCTTTAAGACGGAAGCCACCGCCGCTGACTGCACGGAGAGGAGGGGAAAGCGAGAAAGATGGAACCATTGAATAGAGGCTGAGAGGGAGAACCGGAAAGAAAAAGCAAAAGACATTGGTCTTCGCCATCTGCTTATCGGGCGGCAGTAGGAAAAACAACAACCAGTGGTCTTCATTATTTAAGAAAATCACCTAAAGCAGCTATTCTGATTATTGAAGCCCTTCTGCCTGCTTGACTGTCTCTGGCATTCCCCTCCCGGCGTCCCACTTTAGGTCCTCCCGGGTGTAAACAGTCCATTGACTTAAGCCACTGCGGAGCCCAGTGGACTGACCCAAGTCCCCAAGGGTAGCGGGTGGAGGAGATTGGTAAAAAGTTCCACCTCGCGGAATGCAACAAACCTAGGGCCCTGATGCCCTCTTCCAGCGCCGCCGACGCGGCGGGCAGCTTCAGGTCTGCGGGGTCGCCCTTACCTGGCCGGCACTGCTCCACTTCCGGGCGGCGCGTTTACCCGCTGGAGCCCTCGGCGGGTAATGGTCCGCCCCGACCCGGAGTTGCCTCTGGGACCTAGGAGCGCGGGAATAGTTGGCCCGGGCCGGGTGGGTGACAGGCCGTGGTGCTGCACCGGTGGTGGCAGCGGCACTCGCAGAGAAGGCCCAGGCTTCCAGGTTCCCGTGGCTTTCCGCGTGTTCGCGCCAGCTGAGCCCTTTACATAACCTCTTTACATAAGCTGCGCCTCCTGCCGCCTCCCGGGTCAGCGGAGACTCCTGGTGGCCCATCCCCCGGGAGGCCAGCCTTGTTCTGCACCGCCCAGGCCCGGCCTAGGACGACGGAGTCGGCGCACCCGACACGCCGCGCCGCGGCCCAATCACGGGCAAGAACACTCAACCAACAAAAAATAAGCGCCAAATTCCCGCGACTCGCGGAGGCCTCCCTGTCTCCACGGCCACCAGCGCACCGCAATCTTCTCTCTCGACCAGCGCGAGGATTAACCGCTCACACTAGGGACCTACTAAATACTGATTGGGTGATTGGATTTATTGGCTTGATTGATTGAGCGCTTGGGCCTGGGAGCCACAGATACTGGTTAGGAATCCTATTTTCCTAGGAAAGATCCCATTCACCCGTTTTGGTGGTACACACCTGTAATCCCAGCTGAGACAGGAGAATCCCTGCAAATTCAAGGCCGGCCTGAACTGCATAGTGAAACCTGGTCTCAAAAACAACAAAACAAAGGAAGATCCATTGATCTAAGGCAAATTATTACTCCACCTTGATTTTAAATTTCCTTGTCTGTAAAACTGCCCGCTGCTTCCAAGGTTGATAGGACCAAATGAAATATGGTAACCCGGGCGTGGTGGTAAATGCCTGTAATCGCAGCCTTCTGAGAGGCTGATGCAGGAGGATTGTAAATTTGAGCCCAGTTTTGGCAACCTAGCAGTTTAGCAAGACTCTGTCCCCAAATTAAAAAAAAAAAAAAATGTTGGGGATGTAGCTCAGTGCAAAGGCTTTGAGTTTAATCCCCATTACCACACGCTAAATAAATAGGATATTAATTGAATGGGGACTAATGATGCTCAGTGTAAACTACATATAGGCATGAATTGTTGCGTAGTTTGTTTTGTGCTTTGTACCCCAATGCCTAATAGGGTGCTCAATATTTGTTTATTGAATTTACAAATGTTTGTTGAATGCCTATAATGTACTGGGGACCATTCTAAGTCTAGGGAAAAAGCGATGGGTAAATCAGTCCCTGCCTTCGTTCAAGCTCTGCCACTGTAGCAGACAAACCACAGATTATTTGGAGCAAGATGATCAATCTTATATCTTTTCTTGGCTGTTACACAGTTAAAGCACTTTAGAAAAGGATAGGATTTTACATGCAATAAACATCAAGTAGATGCACAAAAACATTTTTTTTTGGTCTGTAATGTGCAATGCACAAAAAGAATGAATTTGGGCTGGGGCTCCATGGTAGAGCTCTTCCTGGTTTCTTCCCCAGCACCATCAAGAAAGAAAGAGAAAGAAAGAGAGAAAAAAAAAAAGGAAGGAAAGAAAGAAGTAAAGGGTTTCTGGGGTTTGAAAACCATTCCCCCCCCCCTTTGGTCTTTCTTCAGCCTGGGTCTTGCTGAGGACCACTCTGATGGCATAACCACTGAAAGTCTAATTTCTTTAAAACAAAATTTCAAATGTGGTATCAGAGATGAAGCTGAATAGAGTGCTTGCCTACAATGTGCAAGGCCCTGGTTCAATTTCCAGTTCTACACACACAGATACATATAATGTATATAATTTTAAAAATAGTGAAGAAGTCTCATACTCTTTCAACTAGAATAACACTGTTATATTTTCTACATTTGTATGAGCTTATCTCGTGTATATGTACACATGTGCACATACATATTATGTATATGATACGTATATATCTTTTACTCTAAATCATTTTAGAATTCTAACATGTTATATTCCAAGGGGATGGGGATATGGCTCAGCAGCGCAGTGCTTGCTTGGCAAGCTTGAAGTCCAAGTCTGATTACCAGTACCTGAAGAAAAAATTCATATTCCAACTGGGTGTCATAGGGCATGCAGGCGGTTTGTTGGGAGTTTGAGGCCAGCCTAGGCTACACTGTGACTTCAAGGCCAATATGAAGTACATAGCAAGACTCAGGCACAAAAAAGCAAAAATAAAACAAAAAATTCTCCAAAGTACCCCAAAGATTTCATATTCCTTTATCAAATATTTCTGGGCTTATTTCCTAAAAACAAAGACTTGCTCAACCTCAGAACAATGATCAAAATCAGGAATTTGAATGTTACCATTCCTTTATTTAATATTAAGTTTTGCTAATTGTCCCAAATAGTGTCTTTTATAGACATTACCCAGGATTTAATTCAGGATCACTTGTTGGGTTTACTTGTTTTTTCAGTTTCCTTTCATCTGGGAAGCAGTTAGTTACTGCTTTCTTTGTCTTTCATGACCTTGGCATTTATGGAGTGTATTGGTGGATTGTTTTGTAGAATGTCGCTAAATTTGGAATTGTCTGATATTTTCTTCTGATTAGATCCAGAATATGCACTTTTGACAAAAATGCAACTGAAGGAAAATTCTGTCTTTGATGCCTCATGTCAGGCAGCATTGGCCTATACCAACACTAATGATGTTAACCTTGATCCTGTGTTATGGTGATGCCTGCAAAAGTACTCCACTAAAAAATGATTTTTCCCCCTTTGTAACTGTTAAATATCATGCAAGAAGATATTTTGAGACTAAATATTATATTCATTATTTTTGGTTTTAGCATTCATTGATGATTCTTGAAATACTTATAGCGGTTCCAAAATGGTAATTGGAAGACCATTACATTTAGTTTGCTAGGGCTTCCATAACAATATACCACAGATTGGGTTGCATAAAAAAACAGAAATTTCAAACAAAAACCGACCAACCAAACAAACAACCCCCCCCAAAAAAAACACCCTCCTTCCTCTAAAACCCCCCAAAACAAAAATTTATTTTCTAATAGTTCTGGATCCTAGACATTCAAGATAGCAGGCTTGGTTCCTACTGAGACTTCCCTCCTTGGCTTGCAGACACCTGCTTTTTTGTGTCTTTACATTACCTCTCCTCTGTGAGAATCCATGGTGTCTCTCCCTCTTCTGGTCTAATGTGATGCCAGTCAGATTAGAGTCTTCATTTTATTTAGTCACCTCTTTAAAGGCCTAATTTCCAGATGTAGTCACATTATAAGGTACTAGGATGTGTTCCTTTAATATATGAATTTGAGTGGCTGGAGGGGCTCAATTTAGTTCCTAACAAACTCTTTAGAGTAGACATAGAGAGCTAGGTATGGTGGTGCATTCCTGTAATCCCAGCACTTGGGAGGATCTTTGCAAATTTGAGTCCAGCCTGGGCTCTAAAGTGAGGCTAAGAGCAGCCTGAACCACATAGCGAAATCCTGTCTCAAAAAGACAAAAAAAAAAAAAAAAGAATATGATATTGGGCTTGAGAGTTGAATGTCAAGAGGCCAGCCATGCCACAATATGAATGGTTCCAGGAAGAGGGAACAGCAAATACCAATGCCATGAGATAGGTAAACTACAGCCACCTAGTAAGAGTATAAAATGGTTCCACTGCTTTGGAAAAAACAATGTGATAGTTTCTTTCAAAATTAAATATGCAGCCAGGATTGGTGGTACATGTGTGTAATGTCAGTACTCTTAAGAGTCTGAAATAGGAAGATTGTAAATTTAGTAAGACCCTGTCTCAAAATAAAAGAGAACTGGGGATGCTCAGAAGTCCCTGGATTTAACACCCAGTACTGAAAAAAAAAAAAAAAAAAAAAAAACCATATATCTGGCCTATAGCCCAGCAATTCTGTGTTTAGATATTTACCCAAAATAAATGAAAACATATTCACAAATTTGTATAGAAATATTCATTAGTGGCTTTTCTCATTAGCGTCCCAAATTGGAAGATATTCCCATGTTCAACAATAAATGAATGTACAAACCAATTGTGCTATTTCCATACAGTGAGGAAAGGAATGAAATACTAATACTTTTTTTTTTTTTTTTTGTCTTTTTGAGACAAGTTTTCACTATGCAATTCAGGATGGCCTTGAACTCATTTTGTATCCCAGGCTGGCTTCAGACTCACAGGGATGCTTCTGCCTCAGCTTCCTGAATGCTGAGATTACAAGTGTGCGCCACTATGCTCAGCTAAAATATTAATATTTAAAGATAACTGAATAGAAGAAGTCTAACACTAAAGAATACGTACGGGAAAATTCCATATATAGTTCAAAATGAAGATTTGGGGAGGGGCAGTACTCAAGACAAAACTCGGGGCTTCATAGGCAAATATACTACTACTGTGCTATGTTTTCAGCCTTTTTTTTTTTTTTTTTTTGTCTTTTTCCTTTTTATCTGTACTGGGGATCGAACCCAGACTGCCTGCTTGCAAGGCAGGCGCTTATGCTAAATCCCCAGCCCCTGAGCCTTTTCTATTTTTAAGACAGGTTTAGCTAAATTACCCCAGACTGGAGCAGGGTATGGTGGGACACACCTATAATGCCAGCTAAGGCAAAAGAATCATAATTTTACATAGTGAATTGAAGAGCAGCCTGAACTACATAGCACAGCCATGGCTCAAAAAATGAATTAAAACCACTTATCTAGGCTGAATTTGTAGTCCTCTTGCCTCAGCCTCCTGAGTGGTTGGGGCTATAGGTGTGCTCTACCATGCCCAGCCATGTAAGTAGGAATGGAAAACACTAGGACATGAAATGTTTTTGAGTGATGAAATACGTTCATTATTTTGACAGTTTCTAGGATGAGGCACCTTGAATGCCTCAATAAAAAAATCAATAAAGGTTAGGACAGCATGGTGATGCATGCCTGCAACCCCAACATCCAGGAGGCTGAGGGAGGAGTATTGCTGTAAATTAGAGGCCAGCCTGAGTTACATAGTGAGTTCAAGCCTGGCTAAACTCTATAGAGAGACCCTGCCTAAAAGAAAAAACAAACAAAAACCACATCAAATCATACCTTTTACGCCCTTTAATGTTTAGTTTATGTACTTCAATTTTACAGGCTCATCTCAATAGAGTTAGAAAAAATGGGGGGAAAAGAAGGTAGTCTTTTTTCCTTTTATTGTGGAAGTAAGGAAAACGACCCCTCCCCCAACCCCATAACCAACTAGCAGATTCCCAGGAGCTGTATTGTTTGATTGACTTTGCAAGCCTATAGCCCAGCAACTCTTTAGAGCACAGTATGCCATATAGTACTACTACAGATTTCTTACTATTTTTTTCACTGTTTTGGTTCATTTTATTGCTCAGTTTTATTCCCTTTAAAATTAAATTTTAAAAAATTTGAAACATTTGGAACGTGCAAATAAGAAGATGAAAATCCTTCACAGTCATGCTAACATGATCTCTGTTGATATCATGGTTTTATGACTACATTTAAAAAGTAAAATTCAGATCATCAA